CTTACCGCCCCAATCGCCCTGACCTTCCGCACAACCCCCGAAAGCCCAACCGCCCCAACCGCCCCAACCGCCCCCCCAGGCCCACCAGCGCGTAGAGCTTGTGCAGCATCTGCAGCAGGAGGGCCAGCTTGTCAGAGGGCTTGTCCAGGTGAATGAACACGTAGCTGCCACGCGGGGGTTGCGGGAGGTTGCGGGGTTTAGATAGAGTACAGAAACTCCAACACCCGGGGGGGGGGGGATGTTTATTGGGCCAGGCGTCCAAGGAGGGGGGTGGCAGGCAGAGACAGTGGGTGCCTCGGTTGCGCTGGGTCGAGCCACTGGCGCATGCGCGGGAGGCGCTGCGGCCCCTGCGGGGCCCGCCCCTGCGCCATCAGCCGGATCGCGGGGGCGCTGGGGTCCGGGGCCCCGCGGGGGCTAAGGATGGGGGGCGGCTGGGTGCTGGCGGGCCGGGAAGCTGCCCGCACCTCTTGATCAGCTGCAGGCCCACGTCCTGGTCGCTGAGGCGGCTGGGTGACCCCAGGACCACCCGGAAGTGGCTGCCCAGGTACTGCAGGTGACGTCAGCAACATGACATGGGGGAGGGGGGCACGGGGGGCATGTAAGGGAGGGCGGCCAGCATGGCTGACTAGGACAGCAGGGCGGGAGCAGCACAGGGGCAAGAGGCGGCATGACGCGCCTCCGCGCGAAAGAGCTGGGGCTCTGGCCGACGCGTTTGCCCTGCGTCGTCCATGCACAGCCGAAACAGCGCGTGTGTCTGCCTGCAGTGGACGCCAGCGCTGCAGCAGCCGACGCGTGGGTGACCCGCCCCCGCCTTTGTGTTGTTGATGAGCCCCTCGTGCATTGGAATCCAAAGCGGCGCGACTGAACACGCCCCCCTCTTCTTGGTGTGTGCGATCCGAAGCGGCGGGCGCGCACCTCGAGGCAGTCTGCGCGCGTGCTGAGCCCCTTGCGCAGCGGCTGCTGCAGCAGCAGCTCCGCGCGCGCCGCGAGGAAGCCGGCGTGCGCGGTGCCGGGGGCGCCGCCGGCGATCAGCTTGTCGTACAGCTCGCGATCTGACAGCTGGGATTCGAAATATGAATGTTGGAAGGTTGGCGAGGGGTTTTGGAACGGATGGAGCAGCACATGAGTAAATGAAGGTTTGGTGAGAGGGGTTGGAAGGGCAGTGTTTGGAGGGATGCGGGCTTGAGGTAGATGCGTGGGGCCCAGCTGCCCATTGCTTGAGGTGCCACAGCGGCAGCAGCGGGCCCAGCGACACGCGCGCGGCCGGCGGCGCAACGCCATCCCAAGAAACACCCTGCGCCACGCGACAGACGCAGCCCCAGGCACCGATACGCAAACTGGGGGGATCCAACAGGAGGGAGGCTCCAGGAATAAAGATTCTGGAATCACACACCTCCAGGAAGCATTTGAGCAGGATGCCCGCGGGTATGAAGTACTCCGCGCGCCGCATGGTCAGCGCGAAGTTCACAGTCCCGTCCGTCAGGTAGTGGCACCGGACTGTCGCGCTGGACTGGTCCGGCCGCACGCAGCGCAGCAGGGTGGCAGCTTCCGTGTAGTTGGCGCCGCGCTTCAGGTAGGCGCCGCGGCGGAGGGCCATGATGTAGTGGCGGCGCTGCGCGGGCGATTGTCCATATGAGTGGGGTCGTTTGAGCAGGGGACTACTGGTGATGGCGGCAAATGTTGAGAGACCGCTATTCCCCACGCCCCTCAACATTCTGACCGGTCCCCCCTAGCCCCTAAACCCCTGAACGTACACATGTCGGCCCCAGCTTTGATCAGCTTTGACCGGGTCAACCAAGGAAGTGCGCCTCAGGTGGTGACTGCAGTGCAGACTCCTGGCTTGGCCTCCACGGCGGGCGGCTGTCCACAAATGAAATAAACCGCCCCTTGACAATTGTCCCACCCCATCCTGGACTCACGGCACGCACCTCCTGCCAGATAGTCCGCAACCCCTTGTCCCCATCAATCACATCACAGCCCACCCCGGACCACAACCATCTGCACTGCCCTGCTGCAACGCATGCAGTTGACCCCACTCCACACCCAATCCCCC